GAGAGAGAGAGAGAGAGAGAGAGAGAGAGAGAGAGAGAGAGAGAGAGAGAGGTTGTATGAATACTTTTCTGGGCAGTGAAAGAAATAAGAAACTGGATGGTGAAAGTTGCGGTTACTTTTCTGGTGGGTGAAATTGAAGACATGGGGAGGGGGGGTGTGTGTGTGGCTATAGGAGTGGTGGAAGAAATGACAGGAAGTGGAACTCACCTCAATCCTGCTGGGCTTGTACTTGTTCTCCTCATCCCAGGGAGCCGGTGGTGTCTCAGGGCCAAACATGTGCTCGAGGTGGTCCGAGAAACTGGGGAAACACACACACAGGGAATATAGGTAGGGGGGAACTTGGGAGGAGATTCTTGTCACTTTTTTTAGGTTTCTAGCTATTGTGTAACTAGTTTACAATTTGCACCATGTCAACATATTTTTACGTAACCTACAAAAATCAGCACCAAAATCAGGACATGGAACAAAAAAAAAAGACACACAGAACAGGTAGGGGGGAATTTAGGAGGAGATTCCTCTCCCTTTTTTTTTAGGTTTCTAGTTATTGCATTACTAGTTTCATATCCTCAATGTGGCAGGATTTTGTTTCATGCGCTAGAAAAAAAAATCATATTTTGGAGACATTTTCACATTAGCTTGGGTCATAAGGTGGACTTCGGTGGTAGGAAACTGATTTTATTAGTTTTCTCCAAAAGTGAAGAAAAGGGCTCAGGTAAAATATGTGTTGTGATCGTGACTGTATGTGGTCAGGAAGGTGAAGAGACAGGTTTTAGTTTTTAGTAAGAGTTTTACAGCCCTTGCAACACAATTAGGTCATACAAAAGCACAATATTAGAGACGTTACAAGAGTGTAACATACAAACAAACGAAAGAGGAGAGATAAGGATGAAAGATTTCTGATAGAAGAGTAGCCTGAGCAAACCACACAAGAGCCACCAGCCAACCACCCACTTGGAGAGACAATGTTTAGAAATACAGATGAACCTGCTCTGATGCCCCTGTCCAAGATAACCACTAATACAAATTATCACTTTGTGTTTTTTTCAAAATATTATTATGACACTGTTCAAGAGGACAATCTGTCTTTTAAGTTTTAGTAGAGTTTTTACGGCGTTCGCAACGGCATAAGGTCATATGAGCGCCATGGACCATCTGTCTAAGATGACCACTTTTCTTCTAAACAATGGGTGGCTGTTGTGGACAGGTTGTTGTCGTTGTTGCTGATTCCAGCCAGGACAGGTTTACACTGTATATATCTCAGATGTGAGAGGACCTCTAACAGGTCATGTCTCCCAACCTTCCCTACTGGGCCACTTCCATGGAACTTTGCAAACAATCAACTGTTTCATCATTACTGAAGCAAAACTGGGGTCTGAACTTTTGAACTTTTCTTTTGTGTTGAGAAGCTACTATTGTCCCCTTAAAGATTCATAGCTGCCAACTTTTCAAAAGTAAAAGACAGACTCTATGCATACAGCTGAACAAGATTACAGGCACAGAATGTGTAACCCCTCTGCAAAACCCATCGTACACACTTATCAACATTCAATAAATTCAAGCTGTTCGATGCAGACCTGCAAAAAGTAATGTCAGAAATCTTTGGTAAACGCAAAGGTCTCTCCTATTGACATATATATGGGCTTCACTTTCATTATTATTAACAATTCTAGTCTTGAAAGTAATTCTTCTTCATTATCAGAAAGCCCACGAAGTGCAATACTATAAAACAGAATACTTATTTTGACCCCCCAAGAAAAAATCCAGACTGTACACGGACCCAAAAAAATATATACACAATATGTTTTTATAATGTAAAGGCGGACAGCACTGAAGTTCACCAAACCAAAGATAGATCTACATACCAGGCCTCCTCATCAAAAGCACTGATGAAGTCAGTCTCAGCATACTCTGGGTAGAAAAAAATGACGGGCCATTTGAGATGACCTTGGTCGTCCAGATGAACCTTTGCCCCTGTTGGGTTGTGGGACTCCAGGGCCGTCAGCAGGAGAGGATTGATCTTGGAGTCTGGGGAGACTTTCATACTGGCCACTTGCACACCTCTGGTCTGAAGGAAGGTGGGGGAGAAGAAATGTATACCCATGTAACAAATCAGTATAATACAAGGCAGAGACAGAGAGAG